TTAAACTGAGTTTTAGAGCTGTACCCTCACTAAGAGATAACAGGAAGAGTTGCATAATTATTATCAAGGAAGCACAAACAAAAACCTATGAGAAAAGTCAAGAAGATCAAGCATTCATCATCCTAGGCAGGAAACAATGTAACACAGGTTTATATCTTCCCCAGTCTAATAGATGAAAAAGGGGTTCGAGGCCAACAAAATTATTCTGCTTACCATTAAGTCTTTGCCTAGAAGCTTCCTACAAAACAGTAGCTGGATGCAGTTAACATCTCCCCAAGATGGTTATTTTAATCTAGACACTAGTCTTTACTCAACCAAGAGCCGCAAGACAAGGGATTTTTATGTCAGAGTTTGTTTCTCCTAGTCTTTGCCTGAAAAAGCACACTCTACCAGGTAGTAGGGCATGGGGCAGGTGGTAAAGGGTTACATAATACTAGTAGCAGGGTGATTGTGATGATTCTGAACCTGACCTGACCTGACCTGGAGTAATTAAAAGGAGCTACTTCCTGCAAACAACACCTTAAAGCATAGGGCATGATATTTTGGAAATGCACTAGGAAAAATATTACACCCATCAAAATACTAGAGATAAGAGTAAGCATAAGTTTAATAGTCTAGTTAGTTAATGATTTCCCACTGAATCAAAACAAATTTAAAAATTTAAATAAAACATTGAAACAGAAGAAACACCACACCAGATTTTCAGACAGAACACAAACATACAGATAGCAACTTATGGGTGAGTCAACACTGCGCCAGAGATTTAAACAGAACACAAACATACTTATAAAATAGATTACAGGTGAGCTAAAACAGTATCTAAGGCACCTCAAACTATATAAGACACGTAAAAAAAAAATAAAAAAAATTTATATAACATAAAATCGTCTAAGTTCGGTCACTTAAGCTTTGAACATTTATTTATCACGCATAAATATAAAATTTTTTAATTTTTTTTCCTGAAACATACAGAAAGTTTTATTGATAATTGGTATTGTAAAAATAAAAAAATAAAAAATAAAAACTAGTACTTAATATTTAATTTAAAATGAAAACATCTACTTTGACCAAACTTTCAATACCATCTCATAAGTTCGGCCACTGTATAAATACTAATATCGTTCACAAGTTTAACAACACAAATAATTAAAACTATTTTTTAAATGTTTTTTTATTGTAAAATTACGATATAAGTTCAGGTAATACCAATAACTAAGGAGAGCGTCGGCCCAGGTTTAAAAAAAAGAAGTCTTTTGGGGCAATAAATAAAACAAGAAAGTTTAAATATAAGTAGTAGTATTTTAAATTTTATTATATTGTCAACTATTTTATTATTTGGACATAATCACATTTGCATACGCCACCGGTTAATACAATTAAAAATATATTTTTCAGTTAATTTAAAAAGATTTTTTTCAATTAACAAAAAAAAACTTCTTTGCTTTAAATGAGTTTGATTAATGTAATGATTGTTTGTGTGGATCTTGCTGTTCTGCAATGGTCAACTATACACGCAATTCTTGCGTGTATAGTTGACCATTGCAGAACAGCAAGATCCACACAAACAATCATTACAGGGTTCGCATCTCATCCATAATTGTTGTGAGCATTATTTTTATCTCCAAAAAAAATGTCACAAGCTTGATACTTTTTAGAACTCAAAGAATTTTGAAATTATGAACAAATTTTTTATTCAAATAAAATACCATGGTGTGTATCGATTATAAAAATCTTAAAATTTACTCATAAATTTACAGGTAAAATTACCGGTAAACCCTACATTCGCAACACATCAATATTTCACAATATTACTGCTAATTGTCTCCTTTGTTGTTTATCCATGAATGACCGAAGTTAGAGTATTTAAAAATTTCACTAACTTATTAAAAAAAGTAGTTAATTTTTAAAAATTAATAATTTTTTTTATGTAAATGTAATTAGTTTGGTGATTCTTAATAATGCTAAGATTAAATATGATCATTTATTTTAATAGTTTGGTTATTTTAGATTTTAACAGTATGCCTTTTTTCAAATTGTTATTTTTTTTAAATAATTATTTCAGCAGGTAGCATATAAATATTATTAATTTTTTTGTAGATTCATATTTACAAACTAATTACAAATATTATTAGAGAGAAAAAAAGTTTGTAAAATTTGAGTTTTGCCTGCTTTTTTTATATTTTTTCTTAAATGACCGAAGTTACACAGTGACCGAACTTAGGCGGTTTTACAGTATATATGTATATATTACTATAGACATGACTGATTTTAAATAGTATTGATGATAGGAAGCAATCTTCTTCCAGCCTTTGCTTAGAAAGCGAATCCCACAAGGTAGCAGGACACAAAACAGGTTGCACTGGGTTACATGTTATCAGTTGCAGGATGATCATGAAGACCATACACCTGACTTGACCATCTAAACTTAGCGTTACATAATGCAAAGTTGATGTATATAATTCACACTTATATTTATATACACACACTTTTATTACATTGATTTTTTTTTTTTTTTCTATAATTGAATAGATGTATTTAATTTTTAATTCAATTTCTCTAAAAAAGTTAAATAAATTAACTTTTTCAAAAAAGATTACATAAAATTTTATATTTAAATTAGTTCTAGATTTCAATAAAAAACAATATTTTCAATAAAAAAAGATGAGATTTTGGTTTGGTTAGGGTTAAAGCATGTGGCTAATTTTTGTCTTGGGGCGAATTTAGCCTTCACTTATGATTATTATTATTATAACTGATTTAGGTTATATTACGAATAAATTTAGATTATTAATTAAAAAATTACATATAACAAATAAACTTAAAAACTTACAAATTTTAAATTAAAAAAAAAATACAAATGTTAGGGTAAATTATCTATTTTATGGCCGGATTTTTTAATGAGTCTTTAAATATATCACAAAAACAACATTTTACCAATAAAAACTGATGAAGTACAAAACTTATGCACCCAATACCATTTTTGTAGCATTAATGTCAAATTGATTAAGTTAGTACAACCAAATAACAGATTGTTTACCCAATATGCATTACACTTAAAAATATACAACACTTTTTAAACATAAAATAAAAGAATCATTTTATAGAACTTGAAGTTCTATTTAGGATAAGTAATGCCGAATATAAAATTAATGGAATTTTGACAGAAGAACAGTATCTTAAAAAACAAACATTTTATGTTAGAGCTCTGTGGATTGTTCTAGAAGTTCATTTGAAAAATATAAATCATCTCAATTTTGTTTTAAGCATGAAGTATATCTTGAAGTATATCTTTAAGCATGAAGTATATCTTGAAGTATATCTTTAAGCATGAAGTATATCTTGTAATCTATTGTCTATTAAGCCCTGGTGACAAAAATTTGGCTTTGTAAAATATAAAAATTCAATAAGTTTTTGAGAAGCAAAAACTTAATGAATTTTTAGTTATTTAATCTTACTTTTTTAGTTGTTTTGTTTATAAAGTGTTAGTTATCTTTTACTGAAAGTTTTGTTAACTTAGATTAGTTAATAAAAAAGTTATCAAAAAAGCCAACTACATTAATCGAACAAGTGTACAACTATTTTAATTTGCATCCCAACGCTAAAACAAAGAGCATCATAGAGTATTTTGTTGCCTCTAATCATCCCAAAAGAATCATCAAATGTTATATGGCAAGGTGGAAAACAATAAGTCTCATAAGCCTGGATCAGACAAATAGCCAAAAATTATGACTGCTAGGAACATCAATCGCCTGAAAGGTCTTTTGAGCAACCAGTCTGGAACTTCAACAAGAAAAATTGCAAATGTGATCATTCATACATTGTAAAAACATTAAAAAAAACATTTGTTATTTTAAAAAAAAAACAAATTCCTGATCGCACTGATAAACATTTACATGGGGTGTGAAGTTTCACGGTTTCTGAATTTGTTGCAAATTCAGAAACCGTGACTTTGTCATTGACAATGAGTCTTATTTTACATTTAAACATACAAATAAAAATTCTAATTTGATTTTACTCAGATAAAGCAAAAAATGCACCAAAAAATGTAAAATATAAACGCAAAAGTAAATTTGAAAAAAAAAAAATTCTTGTGTGGATTACCATTTCCCCTAGTGGAATCTCAAAACCATTTATTGTTCCTGCGAGACTGGCAATCAACCAAACAGTGTACAAAAATGATTGCATCATCATACAATTGGATCCTTTTATGAACAAACATCACAGTGATGGTAATTATGTATTCTTGCCTGACTTGGCCTCTTCACATTATGCTAGAAGTGTGACCAATTACCTCGATGAGAAAAATATCCGTTTTGTAATAAAAGTTGATAATCTTGCATGTGTCCCAGAATTACGACCAATCGAAGACTTCTGGTCAATCCTTAAATGCTATGTGTATGAAAACTATTGAGAAGCTCAAAATGAAGATCAGTTGCAAAAAAGAATCCATTCTTGTTGAAGAAAAGTTAATAAAAATCTTGTACAAGGGATGTGCAAACATGTATACAAAAAAGTTGACGCAGTATGTCGTAATGGCGAGAAAGCATTATTTTAGTTCCTAAAGTAAAAAACTAATATATTGCCTAATATTTTGTACTAATTTTTTGTTCATTAAACCTTTTGTTGTGCTATTACTGCCTGTGTTTATTTTGTGCCAAATTTTTGTCACCAGGGGTTATGTAAACATTTTATCATGTGATGTAAGTTTAACAAGTTTATACATAATAACTAAATAAAATCAACACAGTATAACTTTTTTTACAAAATATTTACACTGTGCGCAGGCTTTTATTTGACTGCATAAATTAACTTACATTGGCATGGAGGCAGGCATGTTGGTTAATAATTATTTTCATTCAAATCCTTTTTTTTTTCCCTACAATTTTTATTTCTTCCCATTTTATCTTAAAACCAGAGTAGACTATTTGTTTGATCTATATCATAGTTGTACTGTGATTTAATATATATATATGTTTTGTTTATACAATTTTTTTTTCCAGTATGTTCAAAAAAAGAATCTTTTGTATAAAGAAATGAAGGAGCAGACTGTTCTAAGCTTTGATCAGCTCAATAAATACATCAATGAAAATGTAAAAGAAAGCAAACAATTGCCAAATGACTGGGTACTAAATGGTTTTCAAGTAAGACAAAAGTATAGGTAACATTTGAAATGTTTATTTGTAGAAAGTTATGGTGATGTATATTAATAATACTTATTTATTTTTATGTTTTTCCAGTTTATATTTTTATTTATCATAATGGTGTATTGTATTATTATTATTTTGCTGTATCAACCTTGAGCTGAAGAACCTTGGCCTAAAGAGGTGAATACAGCTCACTATAGTCGAGGAGGCTACTCTTTTTTTTAGTTGTTTTTACCCTCTCCCAATCCTCTAACTCTAAAATATGAGTCTTGAAAAACACGGTTGTTGCGAAGAAAAACTAGTTGATTATACATGGCAGTGCATATTAATAAATATAGTAGTGTATATTATTTAAAATGCGATGTGTATTGTTAAAAATTGTGGTGTGTATTGTTAAACATGATGGTGTGTGTTACTAAACATCATGATGTATATTGTTAAACATGGTGGTGTGTGTTACTAAACATTGTGTTTCGTATTGCTAAAGATAGTGGTGTGTGTTACTAAACATTGTGATGCGTATTGTTAAGGATGGTATTGTGTGTTACTAAACATTGTGATGTGTATTTTAAGGATGGTATTGTGTGTTACTAAACATTGTAATGTGTATTGTTAAACATGGTGGTGTGTATTTTTAAACCTGATGTATGATTTTTAAAAGTTAAACATAATTGTTTATTACATGAAATTAAATAGGGTTTAAGGTGGTACCTCATTTAAATAGTTTTTTTTAGGATTCAATGAAAGTTATAATGGTTGACTGTTTAAAAGCTTCACTTGATAAATTAGATAAAAAGAAAGGTTGTTTTGATTTATTGGGCTTTGATTTTATTATAGATGAAAACATGAAGGTATGTGAAAAAGTTCTTTAAATTGATATATATATATATATATATATATATATATATATATATATATATATATATATATATATATATATATATATATATATATATATATATATATATATATATATATATATATATATATATATATATATATATATATATAGATATATATATATATAGATATATTTAAATTATTTTTGTTTAAAAATAGCCAATTTATTATTATTTTTTAGGTGTGGTTAATTGAAATCAATACAAATCCTGCACTGCATACAAATTGTTCTGTTTTAAACAATCTCTTGCCACCAATGATAGACGAAGTGCTGAGTAAGTCTACATGCATTATATGCTTTATTATATAGTATAAAAAATGTTTCTAGCAAAATAACCCAATAGTAATCAAAAATATAACTCTCTGTTAACTTGTTTAATATAAAGTTTAATTTATTTTTTAATATTTAGTTTATTTTATGAAATCTAAAAGATTTCTTGATCAAACAATTTGACGGAAAGTCAAAAATCTTTATTTGGCTTTTTTTTAATTTATGTTTAAGACAGACCAAAATTCATTTTTATTTTGAACCTATGTTTTCTGTTAAAGTTCTGTGGATTATTCTAAAAGTTCCGTGAATATCCAACGTTTGATCATGTTTATTTCTTACTGGATCGATTTTTAATTGCTCTTTTAAGTTGGTTATCATAATCTTAAAAGCAAGCGTTTGCTTAAAAATATTTAAAAATAATCATATGGCTTAATGTGCTTAAAACAATAATATGGCTTAAGGTACTGTTTTAGGTTTTCATTGATGTCAGTGATTTTGCTAAAAATCAGACAAGTCTTTAAATTCTCCAACCAGGCTTATCTATTATAGTAAATATTTTGTTTTTGTTTTTCCTGATTAATAATAATATTAAAAATTATGAAATATATATAAAGTTGGTTATAACTGTTTATACATTTTACATTTATAAATATTCCAGTTATATTGCGGTCCATACGTTATTTTTTAATTGGTAAATATAATTTGATTTATTTATTTTTAGGTATTGAAATTGAATTGTTTGACACCAACTTAGTCGGTGAGCTAAAGAGTTTGTTAAACTTTCAACCAATTTTTAATTCTTCTACTAGATATCAGTTCCAAACTAAATAAAGTGCGAACTTTTTAATGCTTAACTGGGTGATTCATATTTCAAACGTTGCAGACGGTAGTTGTATTTGAGGCTTTTTAATTTATTTCTAAATTAGTAATTCAGTTGTTTTTTCTTTTATTTTTGAAATTAATTTAGTTTTAATTTGGCCATAATTGAAAAGTTTTGAAAATTCTAAAAAATTTTCATTTTCTTTCAAGCGTATATTAAAAAATTTTCTTAGCATTAATAGAAAAAATTATAAAAAATCTCATAAAATTCTTAATTGTAAAAACATGTTAATAAATCATTTTTTATTTAGTTTCAAATAAAGAAAAATGTATATTTATACATAAGAGCGTTTAAGAGAGTTTGCTGATCTTGCACACAAATATTAATAAAAAAAAAATTCTTTCAAAAAACAAGATATCAATGTTTTCTAAGAATTAAATGTTTCGTGGTTTTAAATTAAATCTTTTTGGTTTGTCTGTTTTAAAAATTATTTAATTTATTGTCTGTTTGAAGTATTATCTATTTTATTGAAATCTTCAATAGTTATTTACTTTATTGAACTCTACTTCAAAAATGATCTATTTTATTGAACTAAATCTGCTTCCAAAATTATCCACTTTCGAAATAGAAGCCTTTTTTTTCTCATTAATAACTTTTGTTAGGCAATTATTTCTAATGACAAACTCAAAATTGTTACCTAAATTGCTCTTTTTTAAAGGTTTTTGTTCGAGTTATTTTTACGTCGTGTTTTTTTAAACCGCTCGATTTTTGAAAAGAAATAGAAGCCATTGTCATTTGATAGAAACCGTTAATACGATATAAACCGTTAAAAATAAATTAAATTTTTTTTTAATCTTCTACTGAAAACCGTATATTCCCCTATCTTTAGAGTGCTAATATAAATTTTGAAAATCTATTTATTTATTACTTTTTCAAAATCGTTTTGGAATGAAAAAAAATAGATCTGATTCTAAGCATGAAACAAAATAAAAATTTGTTTTGTAGTTATTTAGTTGATCCAAAAAGTCCTTATTGTAATGTCACAAAACATCGTGGTTAAGCATTTTACGACGACGTTTGAATTATCAAACAAAGACTGGAACAAATGGATTTTACAAGGAACTTTTTTATTTTATATTTTATAAAGAACTTTTTGTTTTATAAGGAAGTCGATTTAGATTTTTAGAACATGTTTAAGTGTATAAACTTATTAAATTGGTTTTTAAGAAGCTTAGTAAAGGAAAAATAACGGTTTAACACTGATGGTATTCACGTGTTTTTCTTCAACAATCTTTATGAGCAATTTTCTAATTTTAATGTAATGATGCTAGATTCACTCAAAAAACAGTATGATAAATGACGCAATAAGGGTCTAATATCGCTAATGAGATAATTGCAATAATCCAACTCAAATATATTACAAAATAATAATGGCATCATATTTTCTTAGTATTCAAGTATTTATGTATATTCATCAGAAGCTTACTTTCTAAAAGTCATGCATTCTACTACAGTCGTTACAAAAAGTTCAGACAAAAACAATTATTTATGAGACACCAAATATACTCTGGAGTGTGAATAATTCTAATTTTAGCTACTTATCGCATAATGGTTTTCCTAAAATGAACTAAATGTTATTAAAGAATTATTGAAATCAAATACAATATAAAATATTAAAATGTGTTATTTTCAAAAATTGAATTATGATATTTTTAAATAACCAAGATATAAATAACCATGCTCACAATAAAAAAAAAAAACTCTGCTTGGGAAAGTTATTTGATTGATTGTTACTATCAACATAAATTTCGTGAACCTTTTAAACCAAGAAAATTCATCAGCTTTACCAGTTTAACGAAGGATTACTGATATATATATATATATATATATATATATATATATATATATATATATATATATATATATATATATATATATATATATATATATATATATATATATATATATATAACAATAAGAAAATATTAAAGCTCTATATCAAATCAGCTAATCACTTCAGTCAGCTTGAGCTGTTTCTCGGTGACAAGACATCATGGGCTTTCACAAGTTTTCGATTTCTTTATTATGCTATCTTTATTTTCTATCGGTATCTTTATTTGTAGTTAATTTAAATTAATGTAAGATAACTTTTTATTTTACTTATATTTGTTTAATGATTGTAATAAAGAGAAAAAAAAATTGTATATATCTATTGTAGAATATTCTTTCAAGACCAAGTAAGCACAGGACGTTTTAAACGTTTTAAAAACAATCTATGCTTACTAGGGAATAATCTACAATAGAATTTCTCTGCAGCGAACATGTCGATAAAAAGATCACTTTATGTTAGTTATTTTATTAGTTAACTTTAAACAAAAGGAATCCAAAAAGCATATCAGAAAATATTGTAAAAAAAAAACAACTTTTTATTTGATTTCGGTTTCTCTTTCTTCTGAACCTATTATCCAAAAAATTGCTCAAAAAATTAAAGTAGTTTATAACATATTTTTTGTAAAAGCAATATCTATTCAAAAACACAATGTTTTGTTTTAAAATTTAATAAAAACTAGTTTTACATGAATTTATTATTGCTGAAATAATCTTATATATTATTGGCGAACTTAACATATATAACTTAACGAACGTAACATACATAATTTAACATTCCGTATCAAACACGCTCGAATGAGCGTGTTTGATACGGAACCCTTGATAGCCTTTGCAACCGAGGTAGTGACGAGAAAGAGTCGCACTTTGTATTATAAGAAAACGTGAACGAACGTGTATCTAACATACGTAAACTTTAAATTAAGTAATGTTAAAACATACTGAAACATTTATCAAGTTTTGCAGTTTGATTTTCACTTGAAAATTACATTGCGTTAAGCTCTCCTTAATTTTAATCTATAGCATTTATTTCCGTTAAAAATATTATTATACAGTTTTAAAAATTCGTTGTTTAACAACGTGCCACCGAGGCCGAATGTATAGTGCGCCTGAACTTGTAAGCCGTGGTTCGATTCTTTCCAGTTGCAACTTTTTTTCATTTTTAATTATTTTTGATTATTTTAAAATACAAAATACTTTTGAAGTTTTATAAAGATTATATACAAACATATGTAACGATATTATACACTATAACATATAACCGATATAACACATATAAACGGAATAAAAAATAATATACATATAAACCGATAAATACAAATAAACCGATAAAATACATATAAACCGATAAAATACATATAAACCGATAAAATACATATAAACCGATAAAATACATATAAACCGATAAAATACATATAAACCGATAAAATACATATAAACCGATAAAATACATATAAACGGAAAGATTTTTTAAAAAGCTACAATTTCTAAAAACATCAAAACACCAAGAAAACGAGAAAAAATTTGTCGCGTATGTGTCATAATTGAGATACTTATGTTATTAAGGTAACATAAGTATCTCAATCTTGACACTCAGGTAATTAGTCCATAAGTGTGCTTAGGTAATTAGTCCTAATAAGCTGCGGATGGTCTGAAAAAAATTGTCTGAAACTTAATAAATAAAAAACTTAATAAGACAGCCAGAAAGTGCTGCTATTATAGGGGCAAAAAAAAAAAACAGCCCCTAGCTAGAAAAAACTTTTAATCTTTCTTTTAAGCAGCCGTGGCGCAGTGGTTAGAGTTCTGGCTCAGAACCCAGAGGTCCCAGGTTCGACGCCAGCTCCAGTCCAACAAGCGACATTGGTACGGAAGGAGGCGTGAACTTCCTGTTAAATGCTCTCCCGCGGTGCTCTATGATAAGACCGTAAGGACTTCTGGGAGCACCTAAATACATACAAAAAAAAAAAAAAAAAAAAAAAACAATTAAAAGTTTTTTTTGCTACATTTACATTTTTACTATAAATATATGCTGCAGCTGTTTTTCAATAGGCCTTAATATGCTTATTACGTATTTCAAGAAAAACGCAATTAAAAAAAATTATTAGGAAGAACTCTTTGTAAAACGTTTTTTGAAACGAACAATTTTTATGAATTTTTTCAGAACTCTTTAAAAACATGTATTCTATAACGTTTGTAGACATCTAAACAACCTTACTTTGTAAAAAAAGTCAGATTGACTTTTTTTACCTTTAGGCGTTTTTAAAAACGGCTGTAGTATGGATGATACAACGAATATGTTGAAATGAGATAAGTATTATTCTCAAATTTTCATTATATATATATATATATATATATATATATATATATATATATATATATATATATATATATATATATATATATATATATATATATATATATATATATATATATATATATATATATATATATATATATATGTATATATATATATTTTTTTTTCAAATATTTCGTCACTATATATTTTACATACAATTAACTTTAATTCATGTATACATTTATTATTAAGATAAAAATTAAAATAATGACAGGGGCAAGTAGAAGACTGCAGTCTTATCATCAAGTCCCTTTTATTTGCAACTTTGTAATAAGTTTTACGTGAGCTTAACGTGACATTAGAAATTCATAAGTAGCCTTGTACGTAAAAAACAGTTTTGTACGTAACGATCTGATAGATGTGTATAGAATAGAAAAACTATTTGTATTGTGATATAATCATAATTTGTGGTCATCCAAAAGGGATAAGTTTGTTTTAGTTATTATTAATTTCATCTCTAAAAGTAAGGGAGTATGTTGACGTCACTTAACCTAAACAGGTGCTGTTTGACAGCTGCTTTAAAGAGATTTGATGATTGTTTGAATGTCTTTTATTTCTTCTTTAAGAATTGAATTCCTTAGCCGTGGTCCTCGAGATAAGATAGAGAAGTTAGTTATTTTAAGTAAAGCTTTCGGAATGTTAAAGTTTTGAAAAGAGTACTTTGTTGGGTATTTGTGATCAATGGTGGAAAATTGATTTTCAAAGTATTTTGGTAGTAAAATGTTTTGCGATTGAAACATAAATAATACATTTTGGAGAAGGTTTAGTTCATAAACATTTAGAGCTCCAACTTCCCTGAATAAAGGTTTGTCAAGGGTATATCTGCATACTATTCGACACGCTTGCTTTTGTTTTACATATATTTT